GAAAAAATAATTTCTATCCATTGGTTGTCCCAGGTCATGACTTTCTGGCCAAAGTTCAAACGCTCTATTTTGTGTCTCTGCAGTAACTGAGGCTTAGTCAATTTTGCTGTATAAATGAACCTTCCAGACCTTCTAATTGTGTTATAAATCATTTTTTTTTGACAAACTTTTAAACCTGTCCTCGGAATCAGTTTCTTGGTTGAGTACTTTCCAGTAGATACTAGTTGGCAAACTCTTCTTTCATCATGCGAGGACAAAGCTTTAGGTCTTCTCCCAGTATTCTTTTTACTGTAACTGTCTTTCAATTAAAAAAATTGTTGACTGCAGTCTTTGATCTTCCTATCTTTATCGCAATAGCACGACTACTCATTCCTGTTGAAGACAAAGCTTCGATCTCTCCTCTTTCACGATCAGTTAACTTCTTACCCTTCGCCATCTTCACAAAGATCACCAAGACTTCAAAGAAACGTATGACAAATATGAAAATTGCAGCTTTGTCACAAGCTAGTAGTTGCAATGGTAATTACATGATTATATTATATTTATTTTTAAAAACTGACTGGTGGCCTTAAAGTTTTTACTCAGGCAGAAATACTAACTTTGTAAATAACCACATGTTTCTCATAATTATGTATTTACAAATTATGTTTATAGCATTTATTTCTTATCAAATAATTAATATTATTTGAATCCCTTTTATTTCATTTTACATTTTTTTCAAAAATTTTCTCAAAAATTTTTACTGGCCTTAAAGTTTTTACTCAAGCTGTAGATCATTCCGGATTATGGGTGTCCGAATTAACGACTTTTGACTGTAGTACATACTTTTTTCCAAAAATAAAATATTGAGCTTAAACATTTAATACCCTGCATTTAAAATGAAAACATCTAATACCTTGAATTTAAAATGAGAAAATTATGTCCCCGAGCATTACTGAGACTGCAAACAAAATTATCTGCAATAAATGTAATACTTAAATGACACTTTTATTAAACTGTTAAATTTATGACACTGTTTTACATTGAAGCAACAGTCAATATGTACCTAAAAATATGTTCATTTATCAAGTTTTCTTAGAATTTATGTTACTTCAATAGTACTTTTATATTATTACTACTTAAAGAAAACATGTGATAAGAAATTTATGAATCATTTCTTAGTTTGAGCTTCTAAAATCTTTAAAACAAAGCCTTTCACAAATTTTTTACAACAGAAAATTATTCAAATAACTGCAGAATTCTTAAAAGGAAAGAAATTTGGAAAAGGGCCAAATTTGCCCTGTAGTCTTTCAAATCTGTACTGCACTATCATTATAATATTAAATAAAGACTGAGGGGCTCTTGTAATTTGCAGCAGAAAGTTATTAATTACATGACATATTTGTCAATATACAGAACATTTAAACAGAATTACCTGGATACAATGGATGAGTGGCAAGACAGCAATACGATACTACAGGATGGACAAAAATAATCTATCACACCCTCAAAATCCAGAAGAAATAAGAATTTTACTCAATTGATTAAGATAATGTTTACTCTTAGAAGCTAATTTAACCTTTTTAGTTAGATTAGTCTATTTATAGTATGGAGGAAAATCAAAAGAATTCAATAAACAAAATACAGTAAAGATGCAAATATTATTTAGGGATGCATGTAAGGCCAGCACCAAAGCTGGTGTTACTAGTATGGCTGCACTGGGCAACATTTTCAGGGCTTAGGAAAACACCAAATAGAACTTAGGACCAGCAGAGACTGCACCACGCAGTAAAACACCTAGCACACTGGCCCTGGATGCATGCCATATGTTGAAATCATAAGCTTATATACTGTGTAATGAAATAATAGAATCACAATATTTTGAAATCATCCCAAAACTGAATCTATAAATTAATTACAAATTCCAACCAGACAATGACAATTTACCTTCTGCTACTTTGGTTGCCATTTAATTGCCTTGAAACAGTCAAAACATTTTCTATATGTCCAGATTTAAATCCTACTGAATACATCTGTCAAAAAATGAACCATAAAATTCCAAAATTATTTCTTAAGTAATAAATCAATAAGATGCATGTAATCAAAATTAGACTTCCCCCCCCCAAAAAAAGAGAGGAAAAAGGGGGAGGGGGGAAAACCATCTGAATCCCTTGTCAGAGATTAAATTGTATTTCTAAAGACAATTGTAATGCCCCATAAAAAAGCACTTTTTTTACTCTTAACTGTTGAACCATTTGTACTATTACTTTTATGAGCATTATTTTTAAAGTTAATATATATTCAAAAGGTGAAATTTCTATGTTAGTTGCAAAAACTTTTCTTTTTTAGTACTGCGTCACTTAATTGTATTTATCTTTAGTTAACAATACTGCCTACTCACTTTTAAAAGACAGTATTATACATACAAAACGTTAAAAAAAGGGGGAGGCAAAATACAAGAAATTTCTTGTGTGTGTGTGTGTGATTATGGCAAAGCCTCGAGGGCTATCTGCCTAAGAGGAGGGATGCCTTCGTGGAGGACTTTCTAAGGGAAACTGGCTCGTATACACGTTACACATGGGGAAAACCACGAAAACGCCCATGCAGCCAGCCGTTCGCGGGATTCGAACCTCGGACCGAACTACCAGTGTTCAGCGACTTTACCGCTCGGCCGCTGGTGGGCCCTAGAAATTTCTTGATGTTTGTCAACAACATATATATAATGTAAAACAAAGCTGACACATTTTTAAGACATAAATTAGTCAAAATTAAATTTAATGAGCATTCAAATGTTTGGTCTTTAGTAATATTTTTCAGTTTACAGCATATAAAATTTTTTTTAGCAAAAGTATTTTAGATTTATGATAATCATTTCATTATACATATCCTCCATGAAAAGGAAATTTAAAAAATTAGCCCTGATGTAATGACTATTTTCACTGTTCCATGAAAACCAAACTTAATATAAAATGATCTTGTATAAAATTCCTTTAAAGCAATACTTCTGGAGTGTGTGCTTAAAAAAATGTACAGAAAAATTACAAAATAGTACTTAAAATCTTTGCATTTTATAATATGTTTAAACCACCATGTTTAAACCTGAATTATGGTAATTTCTCTGCTACTGAAAGCTTGAAATTCATAATATCCAGGAATCTTTTCAGAATCATTAAATCTAAATTAAATTTTATACTTTTATTATGCTGAACAGAATTAGAAAAAGTACTAATTTACGACTTTGAAGATGTTAAATTACTATTATGTAATTTTTAGTCTTATCTGTGATTTTGATAGACATTGCGGTTTAATCCTAGTATCCGGTGCACACGGGATTTGGCTACTTTTGGCAACTTTATGATGAGCAGTAAAAACTGGACATTGCGATGAGTAGTTAACGGGTCATTCAAAGAAAATATATAGTTAAACTTAGTATATACTATGTATATACACACATAGTATATAGTGTATAGTATATATATATATATATATATATATATATATAGACGTTCTTTGGATCATTTTTGGTTTTGGCGATAATTTTCAAAGTCGCGCCAAGGCTGCACCGTATACTAGGATTTTACCGACATTGCACATACAAAAATTAATGCATGTATACATAACACTGTTTGAACTTAAATTTCACATGGATCAGGTTCTAAATTTCTTATCTAATACATTCATACAAATATAAATGAATTCATGCTGGAACAAGATTCTGTTGAAACTGTAACTGTATATTAAGCTCCTCTCCCCAATCCCAGAAATGCTTAAAAAAGGTATTTCAAGAGAAATGACAACATCCTTCTTTCTCCACAGGAAAAAAATAATTCTGCGCTGCAGTCCAGAAATAAGTGATTTAAATGGATAGAATCAAATAAGTATGTCTGTTGCATCACATAAAATTTTATGATTTACATACAAAATGCATATAAAACTGTATGGCTGTTTTCATGGTTGTAACTGTATGCAACATAATATGCCAGAACATTTAGAAAGGGCTTGATGAAGATATCTTTTTTTCTGCAGTACATTTACTAAATTTACAGACCTGAGTCCAGTTTGTACTTCTCATCTATATTCCCAAAACTGAACAACAAAAAAAAGGGGGGAGAAGAGAGCGATTGGTGATACAATAAAGTACGAATAGAACATATATAAATATACAAAGTTGGTATGTTCTTAAGGCATAAACAACGCTAGCACTCTATAAATTAACGAAAATGTAATCTTCAAAATCTAACTATTTCATTGAAAGTGACATATCCCTCAGAAGCAAATGTGCTAACTAGACAGGATAGCTTTCCTTCTTCATTTATAGTTATGTGTCTTCTAACGTTATAGACTGAAAAATAAAAAAGCATTTAAAAGGATGTTTATAAAACTTCTAGCAAATTTTGCATACTGAAGTATAGTCTAGGTTAACAAATCATATCTTCAGGCTACAGATTACCAATGTTTTAATATAATTGCACAGTGTTTATTTTGAGAGATGTACCTGCATACACTATTCAAATCCAACGTTTTTTACTACGTATTTTTACTACATTTTTTACTATGTATAAAACAACAGACATCTGTGGAAATTAAAGGACCAGCTGCATAGCAATGATGGCAGGTTAAACAACTTTACATACGGTAGAAGCTTTAAGATGAGTTGCAGCAATATGGAGATAAAGCTGTCACATTCAACGATTTCAAGGATATACTTCAAATATAAAAATTGTAGAAGATGTCGAAAGCAAAACAATGTGGCTATTAAATGATTCTCGAAAATAGTACCTGGTATCACATGCTAAGAATTCTTTCAAATAAGAAGCATGTTATGCTGCTGAAATAAAATTTAATGCTGGGTGCAATATCAATAGACTATGCACAAACAGTCCTTGTATACAGATTTTATTTAAAACTTGCTTTCTTAATATTCAAATCATGAGAATGAATAAGAATGTGTAAAAAAAAAAAAAAAAAAAAAAACTAATGTATACAAAATGTAAATAAATCCTGTAATCATACATATGCAGTCAAGCTAGGACGAAGGCTTTAATTACAACACACAGATAAACAAGGAGTTACAGAATTTTAAAGTGCTATTCATTACTTTGATGAGCACCATAATTTACAATTATAACCTGCAGATCATGGAAATTTGGTTACAGAGCAAAATATACTAAAAAATATGATAATAAACATAAAATGGAAGTAAATCCCGATCGGATAAAAATTGGTCATTATATTCAGAGACTGAAAGGTTACTAAATAAAAGAAGCCAAAACTATTCCACATAGAAGTCAGCTTAATCTGTGCATTTGACAAAGCCTGGTGTGAATCATTTTAAAAATTTAATAATATTCTACTATGCAACAGAACATTTTAAAAGAAATTTTGTTTCCCATGTTCAGAATATGCTGCAGAACAGAAGAGAAACAAGGCCAGAATCAATTGAAAATCAGACTTTTGGGGAGGGGGGGTCCTTACTTCTTTTCTCTATTTACTAAGTTTTAAAACACATGCAAGAAAAAAAATTAATTAATGACATTTACCTCATATACTCATTAACCAGTAGAAGACAACAGCAAAATTATAAAGCAGCATTTGCTTTTAAACATAATTTTACTTATATATCAAAAGATTATTGCCAAAAAGAGAATACATTTACATTTTCCTTCTAGCTTTAGATTTTTAATCTGGATCCTTACGACAATTCAATATTTTTCCCGGATAAAATTAATTTATGCACATACACAATATATATATATATATATAAAAAGAGAGAGAGAAAGTGACAGAGTAACCTTTCTACTTATTACCTATGGCACATATTGGTTCTCATTTTATATATTTATTGTTAAAATGAAGAAAATTACTCGAAGAAATTTTCCTCATTTTATGCAGAATAAAAATTATTTCTCCCCCCACTTAATTACATATAAAAGTAAGTGCAAAAGATTACGACCAAAATCACAGTCTGTTACCATCAACATGCTTTGTACTTTCTTGGCTCTGTTTTAAATAATCACGAATTTAAAGAACTAGAGGGCACTTATGTGACTTGCAGTCTTTGTACGCTACACCGTCTTAAGCCAACTGATAACAAACAAAGCCTAGTGTGTATTTTTTATAATAAAATGAATCTTAGACAACGACATTTTTAATGCATGAGCGAAATGAGTTTTTTAATGCATGAATGGAAAAAATATAACCTGTATGGTTATAACGCAATCATAGTTTATTTCAATTTTTGTAGAGAATAAAAGCATACTTCTTATAGAATGCAGAACAGGCTAATTTTCAGTATATGGTACAAGTTAATATATAATTTAAAATGATAAACGGATGATGTGGAATTTATTCTGAACAAACATTCAGTACTTCTGATGTTGCAAAGTTTCTCGCATGAAGAACTACAAGGCAGATAGTGTCAGGTTTGGTGAGTACAGCAGTGAAAATGAAAAAATGATAATGAAGAAATTGGATATTTAAAAGTTTGTCAAGATGGACTGTTACAAGCAGAAAATGATTTTTTTTTATTTATTTCAGAGCAAAATATTTCATCACTGTTTACAGAAAAACTGTAAATGTTATATTACACAATACAGATCAAAGAATTTGAGAAAAAATTTATGTACTTCTGGACTGTAATAAAAATTCATTACTGTACACAGATTATTTTAAGTACTAAAAAAAGAATTTGTTACTGATCAAATCCATTGCATACTTTATAGGTACTTTGTACGATTATAAATCAGTAACTGACATACAAAATTATATGCCACATCGTTATATGAACCAGACCTAATTTCATGAAACATTTTGCAGGAACTTGATACCGTACCATAATCTGAAAATTAACTGAATTATTGCTGAAAAATTGCATATGAAAATTGGATTATTGCTGAAAAATTGCATAGTTATAATCAATTCCTGATAATACAAAATATTGCTATATTTCACAGATTATAACAAGTTACAACAACTAATTACAAATTCCAGATTTAAGGGGGAAAACAGCTGTAATTCGAAGCATATGAAAGTTAAAACAACTGACAGACTTTGCAAAATGTTAATTCATTAGCATTTGCAAAAATTGCTTATTTAAATTTAAATATAATTGTTGAAATAGTAATTAATCATATTTCAACTACTGCAAAATATTTTACACAACAAGTCCAACAACACCTGTTCATAAATGGATTAACATGAATGATATAATGCCTATAGTCAGATTTACTTATTCTAAAAGCATCCAAAAGTTTTTGTAAAAAATATTGCAGCATTTTTTCAAAAAGCAACAAACACAATTTATAATACTTAAAATTAATTATTAAAAATTTTGTATCATTTTAAACCTGGGAAGACCATAATGCATGGTGATTATAAATGACAACACATAACATCCAAACACATACATGAGAAATACTTTTCATTTCTATGTTCGTTTTCTGTTTTGAACTAAATAAACCTTAAATTAGTCAAAAAGGAAAATTACAAAATAAATATTCAAGAATTAATTCATTCAATAAAATTTAGATAACTTTCATAAAGAATACAATAAAATTTATTGATATTTAATACATTTTAAAATATAAATGTCAAAAACAATCATTTTCAAAATAGTTTCACATGGACTGTTATAATTGCTGATATAACAGGCCATGTGAAAAGGGCACACAACTAAATAACAACATAACAACTATCATTTTAGTTGTTTAGTTTAAAAAATATAAAATCACAAAAGGAATTAAACCCAAAAGAGCAACCATAAAATACTGTTCCTTATTTGTCGAGCAAACAATATTAAGATAAACTATAAATGATGAAGATAAAGAAAGCAATTTGAGGAATCTATAAATTTGTTTCTTAATTCTCATACCCATAATTTTCAACAGCACTTAAATCTAGATTTACAATGATGATGAAAACTTATAATGCTTAATATTTGCTTATAATATAATACTTGTACCTTAACTTATACCCTGAAAGTTAGATCAACTACTTAGAAAACAAAAATTAACATGAATTAGATTTTAGATTGAAGGATGAAAGAGGTTTTATAAAATGATAGTCAACTGAACCACAACTTGGACATGCAGTACTACGACTATAGTCACTGAAAAACTGCAGTCTACGTTCAGGCAATATAATAACTCTTTGACAATTGTTACATCTCAAACGCTCTTGACAGCATGGGGTAGCAGCAATCACATCATAAGAATACATTGTGCCAAGGATCAAATCACTTCCATCCCAATGTCTTTGACAGTATCTACATAAGAGAACTGTATTCCAGCCTTCCAAACAGCCCATACACACAGCATTCAAATAATGAACTTGGCTAGAATTTTTGACAGGTATAGAGCTGCAGGAATATTGGCGAGGTGAAATAAAGAAAGTTCCATCAATCAATGGATACCGATCAAAAATTATCATTTGACTATAACAAAATATACAATTGATGCCCACAGTTTTATTAGCACTAAGTGTGGATAAAATAAAGCACCTTATTTCATCATTTCCTTGGTTACCTTCATCCTCAATTTTGATGTGGTATGAATTGATTTTGTTACGAGGCAATGTATTGAAAGAAGAATAATCTTGACGACGACTGAACATACTGCCACTCGCGTGTCGCTCCCGACGTTCTGGTATTAAATTTTTGTTACCCCAACTAGGAGAAAGGGGACAATCAGATGATGCAGAATTGGGAGGGCTACCAGATGTAGAGCTCGTGCTAGACATGCTTGAACTACGAATGCGATTAACAGGAACTTGCTGTCCAATAGTCATTCCAGGTTTAGAGACTGCTGTACTGCCGGTAATAGAAAGACTTGGTTTATCATTTTTTTTCTTTCTATGTCTCTTTCTTTTATTCTGATCATCAACTACACCTAATGGTGGAGTCCAATCAAGATCTTTGCGTAAATGCCCTTTACCACATTTACAACCACAAGCTTTATATGCCAAATCATACCCTTTTTTAGTCCACAAATTCTGTAAACGTTGTTTTTCACTCCAACTACGAGCGCGGCCGGTTGAGCGCAAAAATGTCAACACTGTGTATTCCCACTGATCGAAACATATCTTATGCATGTACTCGCCCTCTAAACAACTCTCGTTATTGCATATAACTTTAACAGCGTCAGATAAATTTTCTAAATGAATGGGCTCTCCAACATGACATATAGTTGGCACGCAGCATATGGTCATAGTAGCTGGATCGTAGTTTTCAATAATTGCTTGACACTGCTGCACATTCCGAGCTTCCATATTCACAAATTAAAACATGTAAAGCAATTAATTATCATCTAACATAATACAATAATCAAAGCAATATTTTCCGGTATAAAACATAAACACCCTTGCTGTGCATGGACAGATATAAACAGTCGCAGATTTTGACATATATATCAGATCTATCACCCTGTAGAGTCGGTGTATCAACTGTATCAGACACTATACCTCTTAGCGAAGAAACATCCTACTACTGAGAGTGGCGGCAAAAACAAGCACTGCCATTGGACAATCCGGCGAGATTGGGTGGAACATAACATCATACGATGCGCATGCTTCCTTGCCTGTACGTAGAGTCTATGGCTTCCATTATTGAAAATCGTAAACATTCCATATAAGCATTCAGAGTTATTTTATTGAAGCGGGATCATCGTTGTTTCTTGAATGAGAGTCCGAAGCATGATCTGGGTTAAACTTCGGTTACATTCATTCGTGAAAAACTGGTGAAAATTTTAAAAGTAAAATTTTACACCTGCACCTATCTCCCGCAATAGGAAATGAACGCGGCGACACGTGCGTTCCTAAATTTGACCTTGAGCGACTGCTGAATCAGTAAACACAACTTGGCCGCTTCCCAGCATACCCGGGTATCGTTAAAGGGACCAGCGGCAGATTGAAATCTGCAGTATAGCGTTAATGACGATAAGTTAAATTTACTGTAAAAAGACAAGTAGAAATTTCAATGCTGCACAGACATTTTAGATGATAAAATGTTTTATTTATTCGAATGAACAGTTAATTTGTATCTACATTTGCTGTTAATGGAAATTCTATTTAGGTAACTTATTTTGCTTTTCAGGATTCGAGGTTTTCGGTTAGAAAATCACTACTGAGGGTATAGAAATATATTTGGCTGTTTTAGAGTTATTGGAAAACAAATGAGAAACTTATTTTTATCAAACGTAATAAAATATTTCTGAGCAGAGGAAATTATTTGATGAGATTATTTCATTCAATATTATGAGATTATTTTCATTGGGTAAAGATTAATGAGTTGATTTCCGAGAAAACAAAAGTCGTAATTTTGAAGTTTTTCACGTGCAGCAGTAAAGCCTACCTAATGAACTATAAAATAATTTAAAGAAACTGAAGGGGAATTATGTGATTTAATTGCCATTTGTATAAATCGCACATAATTTTCTTGGTAACTTAAAAAAAAAAAAAAAAAAAAAAAAAAAAAAAAGGAATGTAAATAAATATATTTCATACTGTAAATTTCAGAATATATTTATTACAAATGGGAAACTAAATATTAATTAGGTTAGATTATTTGAATATGGCAAAGCATATGAGGGCTGTTTGCGTAAGCGGAAGGATGTCTTCATGGAGGATTTTCTATGGAAAACTGTCTCGTATTCATGTTACACATGAATCGCCTTAGTTTGAAACCGAAGTGTTTTTTTTTTTTTTTTAGTATGACAAAGCACACAAGGGATTCGTCTTAGCGGTGATGTGACACATCAGGGCAAGTGACATTTCCGCAAACCCATCAGAAACAATCAATCAGTCCATGATTAATCACATATTTTATAAAAATACCCATTCTTGTTTTAATGGCTGGTCTTAGTGCGTTTTGGTATTTCGGGGATCTTTTAAAGAAATTTATTTAAAATTAATTTCCCCCGTTTTGAAGCATCAGAAAGGAAACTATGTGCTGTCCACAACTACTATCGGGAGTTTTGTGTTACTCGAAATTCTAAATGCTGCTGTTTGGAGGTGCAACAAAAGTGAAATTGAATAACGCAAAGGGTAGATGACGACATAAAATGAAGCATATTTAATGTTATAGAACGTAAAAATATGTTCCATAACTTTCAAAACTTCTTCATTCTTTCAAAATTACTTCATTCGAACATAGCCAGAGTATAAGTTAAAAGTTCAGCTGTCGAATGCATGTAAACGAACTAGAGAAGATGCCTCGATACCAGTAATTTTTATTGGTGATGTCAATAGACTGTTTTACAGTGGCTATAATTTTGCAGTCACCGTACACATCATCTCAAAATTTTTAAGTCATTTCTTTCCAAGAAATTGAAGAAAGCTCAAGTTCCACACTGGATCTAGATAGCTCTGATAATTTAATTATTCCTTGGGACTCTAGTTGCTCACTTTTACGATAAGAAAGACGTGCAGATTTCTCATCTTTAGAAAGGAAAGACAGGTTTTGAAAGAAAGAAGACAAATTGTTTCATAAATGGAAAATTCAGAAGCATCTGTAAGCAGTTTTCTCAGTTACATACCTTGCATATAGATCTGCGTAGCTTAGTGGATGAACAAAAAGTGATAGCTGTAGCATATGCTCTGATGCCCAGTAGAAAGAAGAAACTTAATCTTTTAAGATTTAAATGAAATGTTTCATTGGAATTTGAGGCACATTATAACGCGCTTTGAACAAGAAGCAATTAGTGCCATATAACATGCTCAAAGAATGTTAACTACCAGTTTACAAAAACACTCTGATGACGCGAGCAAGGCATTGGTATAGTAAATCTGCATCCAGGAAATGCGGAAATTCGATTAAGTGTCAGATTCTGTGCAATATTAACACGTCTTCCTCAGCAACACGACCTCTAGCGGACGAGTAATAAAATCGTTAAACACTGGCAGTTTATATAGGTTCAAATCCCGGCGAAGGGCTGGCTGAATGGGAATTTTCGGAATTTTTCGCATATGTAACGTGTATACCAGCCAGTTTCTTTTCTTTTCTTTTTTTTTTAAGTCATCCACGAAGATATTCCCCCTCACACACAATAACTCGTCGATATTCAGTAATAACTCGTCGATGAAGGTTGTTACTAACAGAAGATGTCCCAGAAGAAGATAAATTTGTAAAGAGAATTCGCTGATCAGTCGGATAACGAAGTCAGCAATCGATTAAGATTCGAAGAATTTTCTGTGAAAATGTGAAGCTGGTAAGAGAAGAAGCATAGAACAAATAATATTGTGGAAACGTGGAACACAAGCTTGTAGGTTCAAAATCGAAACAAAGACTACCAAGTCGACTGTGTAGATCTGAACTTTTCTAAAAACAAGTGACAAAAAGTATACAAAAGTGTCTTCATTAACTTAGGAGCTATGAACGATTTATAAAAAAAAAAGTTTAACTGCATTAACATTCATCTAAAAACAGGACTATAACTAAAAAAATAGAATCAAACCTGAAGAATCTAAGCGATAGTTTCTGCACTGAACACAAGAAACTTATAGTCTCATGACCCTTTAATTTTGGTCTTAGCGAAGAGGAAAATCCATTGATAATTTTTAAACACGCCAATATTTTGCTACCACTTCAAAATGTGAACAAAGGATGAAGAGAAATTATTACAAGAGCTTGCAAGACAGATTTAAGGTAATTCTTTACACAAATATCATCAGCAATACACAAAATGGACTAAATTGTACAAACTACAATTACACGCCTATCAGAAAATATTTTATACGACAATGTCGTGCCACTAAACTTTCTTAACTACTCGGCCAGTGAAGAGTGGAAAGGAGGCAAATGGTTAATTTGGTTTACTGAGATTTCGACAAAGCAGTCTAAGGCTATCTTCCTAAGGGAAGCGATGCCTTCGTGGAGGACTTTCTAAGAGAAAATGGTTCGTATACTAGGTACACATGGGAAAAACCAAGAAAATGTCCATGCAGCCAGCCCATTCACCTGGAATCGAACCTACTACAAGGAACTACAAGTGTTCAGCGATTTTACCGCTCGATCGTTGGTCGGACGGAGGCAAATGAATGTTTGTAGGCGTATATTTATTTGTTATAACTAAATCAGAATTAAATGTTCCTAAAATAAAAAAAGGGAGATGAATAAGCTTTTTTTTTCGAAGCGGTATCACGCATTCGAGTATGGATGTCTCGTGCACAAAAGCAGTTTTTCAGTTCGTTTGTGGCGAAGCACGTAAGAGTATTTGCCAAGGAGGGGGATACTTTTGTGAAAGACATTTTAAGGAAAACTGGCTCATAGCTACGCTACATATGAAACAAATCACGAGAACTTCCTTGCAACCAGTCTGTTCACCAGTGTATGACGCCTAGTCGAACTACCATCAATGGCTAGCGCCAGACCTTTGTTAAATTTATGTCTAATCTACGAGCCCCTTGTTCTTTTCGTTTTACAGTTAGAAGGTATAGCTGGATGTATGCGTACCTGTAAATAACAGTTTAAATTCCTATGTTTTATTGAAAGCTAGTTGAAAAATCATTTAATCGCATTTTGTCAGATGAAGCTAGAGTAAATATCAGGAAGCAAATCGAGAGCTGAAATCAAAATTCTATTAAAATTTCATAATATTGTAATTTGGCAATGTATAACTCATCGTTTACACTTAGCATTATAAGTTTCAATCAAAAACATAGCGAAATGAATCATTCTGAAATATTTCATGATAAACTATATGCTTTTTATCAGCAATCTCTCTCTTCCAAATCAACAACAATTAATGAAATTGGTAAAGGTTTAGATGTCTAAATGTGTTGGTGTTATAAATGGCTGGATACTTGAAATTTAATGTATTCGTCATCAATGGGCAATGCCCATCGGCCATTTAGACGTCTCATCACCGAGAACGTTGCCTAGGGCGCACCACAGGTGGCAACAGAATTACGCCCGTGAGAAAAGAGAAATTCCGCTCTATTTTGATGAAGAACATCACGGGGCACAGATCTGAGGGTGTCTCACCCCTTTTCCCGTACCTCCAAGCCTATCAAGAAAACTTTCGCTACCCCAGTATTTTAAATACCTCCATACACATAGATATTATACATTTACATACACCTAAGCCTTCTCTGGGACTCGAAACCGGTCCAGCGATGTGGCACCAATATTGCAAATACCATTGCTACGATCATCCAAGTCCAAGTGCCGCTGATATGCCGTGAATATCATACTATTTGTATGACGTGTTCCAGCTCTTTGAAATAACTGCCCTGCGGGCCGCCTGACAGTAAAGTTTTCCTGGTGCGTGAAAGCAATGTTTTCATGGTGAGAAGGGGAGACCGCAAGACAAGCGGGTCCCAGACAAAAGCTCAGTGGACGCTACAAAAGCCCACAAAAAAAACTTACTTTACTTACTCGCTTCTGATCTTTGGTAGATCCTGCGTTTGCTAAAAGAATCTACTTGCAGCAATAAGCAAAGAATCTTCCTCTTCCACGCTGCAAAACGT